TCAGATGAGTACCTGGTGCGCTGTGTAAACATCGCCATTGGGGAAACAAAGACGGCCGGACGTGGTGTTGGCCACCCACCCCCTCGTGTGCCGTGCCGGCCTTCGTAGGTGCTACTCGCTCACAGCGACTATGGAGAGAACACGCAAACTCCAGAATATAGAGCAGGCAACAGGGTCGGATCGAACCCACGACTTCCTGAATACCAGGCGAGATCGTTAACATCTCGTCACCGTGGCAACCCTATGACCGTGTGTGCGTGTAATTTTTATGTTCGTGACCTTGTTATTGCTCCACCACTCGGGCAATATAAATAAGGGCCCTCCTTGCGGCACGTTTTACTTGATTCGCCACACTGCCTATCTGACTCCCAACCAGTGTCGCAGACGACCGACCTGCCCACGGACCCACACAATCTCACCGCACAACCTAAGTCCACGCGACGAGTAATCAGCGGCGCCCAAATTCCAATGCCACGTGGGCTTTTGTGGACAAACAGTGCTTGTCGAAACAGGGCGGTCGGCGCTACTGCCTTTAATTGCAGATGAAAACGTATTACCTTGTGCAATAGAACACCTCGCACCCCCCCCCCTCCGAATGCAGACCACGTAGCCACAGGTTACTAGAATTGGGTACTGTTGATCATCGTCATCATCAAAAGTCCAGTCATTAAATGTGTCCGTTCTTTAAATGAGAATGATATCGCGTGCCCGCGAGCAGTCAACCGTGGCCCTGCTTATCCGGCCATGTGTCAATCCACTGACCGGGTGGAGGCCACTTATGCCAACGTCATTTGGGTTGTGGGCCGTTTTTTGACCGCATCCACTCTGGTCAGCATGGGTTGGTGAATGGCAGGTGGCCCATGACCACCGGTTCGGACTGATAACATTTTTTGCTGTGGCCAGGAGAGTCAAGATTGTGGGGGCCACAGCGCAGTGTTACGGACCACCGGGCCACCGCTCCCCCACCCAGCATTATTTCACTGCCGAGGTGAAACGCAAGATGCGCGTGGAGGATGCTGGGAGGCCCTTCGTGCAAGGTAGTTAGGTGCAAGCGATATGGAAGTTCAGAAGAAGGGCTGTCGACGCAATCGGGGAGAGAGGAGGCTGAGAAGGGTGGGACCTGTGTATCAGAGGAGCGGTGCGACGCAGTGGTGAGCGCACTGCGCTATGAACCCGGGGACCTCGAGTTCGATTCCCGCTCACGGCCAACACCAGTGACGGTTATCTGAAACGGTGCTGGGCCTCAACTCAGCCTCAGATGAGTACCTGGTGCGCTGTGTAAACATCGCCATTGGGGAGACAAAGACGGCCGGACGTGGTGTTGGCCACCCACCCCCTCGTGTGCCGTGCCGGCCTTCATAGGTGCTACTCGCTCACAGCACTTGCCCCTACAGTCTGTTAGGGCTACACGGAGTGGGGAGGGGGGTCTTTGTTTAAAGGGCAGGCCACGGAGATGAGATCGGAGGCTCTCCAACATCATCGGCAAATAAAACAAACATCAACATACAGTACCAATTATTCAGATCTTATTGCCTCTCCCCCCCACCCACCTTGGATCCACCAGTGGGAGTGGCACGGCACAACGGATGTCACCCGACGGGGAACAGCCGTGACGTCAGTTGCAAAATTGTGAACGTCGGTCCAACGTTGGCACGCTGTTTCACTGGGTGGCGAGATACTGCGAGAGCAGACCTTTGAGAATAAAAGGTGCGAGTGGCGACAACATACTTTGTCAACGCCGTATCATTCATTTCCCCTGCCTTATTGCAGACCAATTCAGACCCTCATTGGTCACCCCGTGCCCCTTTATAAATCTCGGCGTTCATCCTGTAAAGTCCCATCACAATGGGGAAACACGAACGACCGCACCCATCCTGCGCACTGCCCTTGGGTACACCTCGGGCTCTCCCACTCTTTCCAATGCCTACCTGCCGACGTCGCTAATTTCGCCTTTCCTCGCCGCAGGAGGTGACGCTGCTGCGCCAAGTCGCTGGTGCAGTGGCGTGGCTTGTGTGTGTGTGTTTGGAAAAGCGGACGTGGAAGTGCAGCTTGTTGCGCGTGATCTGCGCCGAGAGCGCCTTAATTCCCGATCATATGTGTCGGCTGCTGCGGGGATCGCCACTCTCCAGAGTAACGAAAACTAAAATCTGTTCCACGACTTTTTTAAATTTTATTTTGGCCGTATTATTTTTGTTGTTGTTGTTGTTGCCCGTATTGAAACGGCTGTACGTCGCCGTATGGACCTGAAAACTCAATTGCCCTGTAAAAGGATACGGGGTAAACCGCATGGGTTGACAGCTGTGGCAACGCAAAACGTAACGAGAGATGATGTCGGTATTTGCATAGCAGCTGGAGTCGGCGCTGCTCGTCATCAGCGATGACGATGTGGCTTCAGAAACGCCGGATGGGTTTCGCGATTCACGTTCGAACCACAACGAGCGTCTTTGAAGGAAGTTTTATTGCTCTCAGGGGGGGGGGGGGGAGGAGGAAAGAAGGCACTTGCAAGGCAGTGGTCGGCGAGTCCCACAATACAAATATTTGTTTTCTTCAAATTTTATTACATCCGATGCTTACACATTACAACGCAAGCCCTGCCCACTGAATCGTTTATCTGAAAAAAATGTGTAAATTTCAAACCGGGCGGAGGAGTGCCACTGCTTTTATATATACAAAAGATAAAAGACCCCCCCCCCCCTGTAAAGCCTTTACAGACTGTTGGGGCAAGTGCCGTTCGCGAGTGGCACTTGCGAAGGCCGGCACTGCTGTGGCACACGAGGGGGGGAGGGGGCAGCAACACGCCTCGGCCGCCAATGCCCCCCCCCAAACTGGCGATCTTTTACACAGGGCACCAGGTACTCATTTGAGGCTGAGTCGACCTAGAGGAGGCCCAGGACCACACAAGAGCCGTGCTTCAAATTGGTGGCTACAAACGATGCCGAGATCGTCCCCGACTGTGCATCGGCCAGGGCGGAACAAATCCCCCCCCCCCCCCCGGAGAACGTACGGAGTGAAAAGGCGTTCAAAACGCTCTCCAGTCTTGTCCAGACACAACGCAATTCAGAGGGAAAGGGCCGTTTCAAACCAGCGATGTTGCTTAACTCTCTAAGGATGCGCGTGTGCGCTCTTCGATCATAAAGGAATCCCACCGGCGATGAGAAAAGGGGTTCTCATGTGGTGGATCGTTTCCTACAGTAGGGTTCCATGCATCATCTCCCCTCGGGCATGGGCATTTAAAAAAACCATCAACATTTACAAACGCGTGACACCAAAGTTGTGGGATTCGTTTTAAAATGTGACGTAAAACTGATTTGCGATACGCACACAGTGGATTGGACGTCAGTTCGTGGGTCAGTGCCAAAAGTGGATTTTAAAAAAAATCACGGCTCCGAGCAAAGGGGAAAACGTTGGCCGATATCGCCTGGGCCCTTACCACGAGAACGATCACGGACGGCCACGTTGACGCCAATTAAACTTTGCATGGGCAACCACAGTCCTCAAACACCTCGCCCAACATCCGGCATCGTGACGCAGCCAACGAACCCGATAAACCGTGGCAGAGCAAACGGCGCCCCTGCCCCCTAGATTTTGTAGACGAGACGGGTTGACATCCGTCACCGGCAGCGCGTTGTCTACGGACGTTCAACTTGCGCCACTAGCACGTGGCCAACTGCGCTCAGCGGGGCTACGGGGTTCTGGAGGTGCGAATTCCTAGCTGGCATGTGCCGCAAAACACACACACAAAGACGCCCCGTGTAGCCTTAACAGACTGTAGGGGCAAGTGCTGTTAGCGAGCACCTATGAAGGCCGGAACGGTACACGAGGGGGTGGGTGGCCAGCACCACGCCCGACCACCTTTGTCTTCCTAGTGGCGATGTTTACACACCGCACCAGGTACACATTTGAGGCTGAGTCGAACCATGGGATGCCGGGGACGGGTACAGATAATCGTCACCGGTGTTGTCCGTGAGCGGGAATCGAACTCCGGCCGTCGGATTCGTAGTGCAGCGCGCTAACCACTACACCACCGCTCCCCACACACACACGCTCGATCGATCGATCCAGGCGATAACTTCACCAGATCGCCGTGGCAGGTGCAACGGGGGAGAGCCTCTACGTCGCACTGCGATGCCGAACATCATCAGCACTCGGCCGGACGAGCGGCAGGCCACCTCCGAAGGTCCGAAAACCCGCTCCTCGGCAACTTCTCTCGGATTCCCTCCCGATCGTCTCGACTGCCCCGAGTTCGTGTAACCTCACTCTCAACTCGCTGGGCTGTTTGGAGGCGGCGGCGTCCGTGACGAAGGAAGATCTCGGACAGGTGGACCGTTTTGACGTGCTCTGCCGTGCAGAGTCTGACCACCCAACACCGCCGGTGCCGGCGTGCGCACAGCTCAGGTGCTGCGGTGGCTCAACTTTGTCGTAGGTTTGCCCCTGCGCTTCCCCCCCCTCTGCTCGCCCACCCCCCCCTCAAACTTTCAACAGCGTCTTGTCCACACGCAATCCGTCTACCCGTACCATGACAGGCCGATACCAGGACCCGCCGACAAAGCGGTCTCGCTCCCACCAAGTGGGGAGAGACTCGCAGGCCAGAGAGGACACCGAGCGGCATCGACACCGCATGGGAAGAATAAGAATCCAAGCCGCCTCCCTCGTCCAGGGACGTGACACAACCGTTACTCGGAATCATTGCTACTGCTCGGCTTTCCCTTCCGTGGTTGATTTAATAATATATCGTTACGCACGCACAGACATTAATAACACTAGATGTGATGATCTCACTGGGCTCTCACCCCATTTGATTAAGGTCAGCGATTGTGTAGCCAGGGGAAAGGGTTGAGCCTCGTTACACAAAGTCGACGTCAAGGTCGGGACTTGGAAACTAAACTATTTAAACGGAAAACTATTTTGTATTTTACCAGTTAAGGCCCATTGAGCTGTATAGCTCTTTTGCAAAGCGACCTGGCCACAAATGATAGCTCAACGAAGTGGCTTTTCATGCCGAAATGTATAGAAGCCAAATACTCTAAACGCACGTCGATTCTCAATGTGGAGGGAAAAACAATAAGACCCCGAAGAAAAAAATCAACACGCAACCATGGGAAGAACATGCAAACAAATATACTGGCGTTAGGGTCGGGATCGAGCCCACGACCTCCTGCATACCAGGCGAGGTAGTTAACATCTCGCCACCGCGGCTCATCTATAATATACACACCATGCGGTGATATTCCCTCGTGTTTTAATCAACTCGTCACAGAAAGTGTATGCATGACCCGCCCCCTACTCGACACTTGCCCGCCCCCTACTGGACATCATGCATAGCTCATCGGATTCCTCCAGTCTCAATACGGATTCTGATCCTAGGATGTAGTCCATGAGCCCAGATCAGATATTTCACTGGTCACTACGCACCCGAGGAGGGATCCAGTTTCTTCACGTGGCCAGAAAAAAAAAAGACTGAATTACGTGATAACCACTTGAAATGACCGAGTTATCAAATAATTCACTCTTGTTAGCCGTACGCATAATAAATCGGTGCGACGAAAGGTTCTAGAGCAAAGTTGGCACCAATTTACGCTCTGGTCCATGGACTAATGTGGCCCACCAAAGTCAAGGCTAAAAAGACTGCAAATTGGTCACCCGTGGAATTTTCTTAGACCGTGGCTCCTCCTACTCGTGGCCTCTCGAGTGGCCTGGCCTGGGAGATATGGCTCGCCGAGACACAAAGAGGCACGTATCACCGAGATGAGGCAGAGGTGCACAAGAGACAGAAATGAGAGCGCCGTTGAAAAAGGGATTGAGGCTAGCGAGTAAAAGTGAGGTAAGGAGACTCCGGGGTGCGGAGGTATGGAAAAGCGGTCACGTGCGCAGGCTTCTAACGATGTCACAAAACCCACGTGACGTGAAGAGGCCAAGTGCCAATTTTTATTTGAGGCTCGTCAGAAAGAAATTTAAAAAAGCAGCAGGTATAGATCCCGGGTCTTAAGACAGCAAAAGGGTCGAGAAACCAACGAAAGTAACGGTAGAAGTGCGTGAGAATCCAGCGCTGCTGGTGAAGTTCACGCCGCAAGTTTTGGGCCCTACGCTGTGAAACCCGGCGATTACGACCCAACCCTCGGGAGGGTTATCGTACGACCGGTTCTGGTTAGAAACGCTCCTTGAGATTCCAGGGTAATGCCTCGGTAACAAAGCAGACTTCACACCCCCCCCCCTCCCCCCCGGTTCCAACGCCACATAACATTCTCCCGGTTGTCAAAGGTGCTCCTGGAGTTTACGCGCTTGTGGATGCATATTCAGAACGCCAGAGAAATATATATTTACACTGTCAGGGCACATTCCAGTGACAGGGACCCACAATCAGAAGAGTGGCCTCTACTGTGACTTAACGGTGATTGGTACTACTCTTTATCCACCCTGGAGGGATGATGGGCCACCGAGTCGACCCCATGACAGGGACTTGGCGAACGTTGCATTGTGAGTCTCACACTCCGGAAAACAGTGCCCGCTGTTCAGATGGTGAATATATATTAGATGTATTATTTTATTTGTGTACCTCACCACAATTGCATGGTCATGAGCTCAAAACTGGTGGGGGTCGCTTGAGCCCCCCGCCCCCCCCCCCCCCATGGTTCTCTCCCCGGTTTATGAAAATAAATTAGCACCAACCAATTCGTCAGAAGTCAACAGCAGTGGTCGTCATACCGAGAGACTGGCCTCGGACATAGGAACTTGGAAGTTTCACCGCTGGCTCAGGGCCACCAATCGACACACACGAGCACCGCCCCACCGCCCCTCCACCCGACGCTCGCTCGGTGAGAACTTTGTTGTGGGCTGGACACGCGCTCGTGGTGGTGCTCAGAGCAGCAGGTAGGTGGTGGGCACGTAGCCCTGGGCCTGGCCCGTCTGCCTCTTCACCAGCGTCCAGCCCTGCCCCGCGTCAGCCTCCACCACAAACAGCGCCTCGCCCTCCGCCACAGCTATGGTTCCATCCGAATCGCCTGCACGCGCGCACCCACCACCACCCACGATACACCACCCACCATCACCACAACAACAAAAACTGCCATTCGCCACTAAGTGGCAGTGACGCCACCACGGTGCTTGTGCCAGGCTATGTGTACGTCAAGGCCACGTGAAGTGTCGAACGCCCGTCGGCAGGAGGTCACGGGGCAGACCCAGGTGCTATGGGTTAACTGACTGAGATGACTATGTGATGCACCACCTGTGCCCCCTATTGTGCCAACTTCACCACACACACACCACAACACACGATACACCATCAACCACCATCCTCCCCCGAAACACCACCACCATACGCCACCACCACCACACACCACCACCACCCACCCACCACCGCAATCGCACACAGGCATCCATCAGCATACACAGGGAGGGATAATCTCCCCCCTCCCTACTCCATCGCTAGAATGTGTCCCGATAGTGTAAATATGTATTTCTCTAGCGCTCTGAATACGCATCCACAAGCGCGTAAACTCCAGGAGCAATACGGATGATGATGCCAATGCTGAGGATGCTGGCTGTTGCTGCTGATATTAATGATGATAACAAAATTGATGCCACAAGATTACCAATAAACATTTTGGGCCAACATTGGCTCAACGGGTTCCAACAAAGATGGCGACGTTGGCTCAACATTGGCATGTTTCCCGGGTTGTTGCGGACGTTGATAATTATGCCGCTGATGCTGCCGCGAGTGCACGTCCGCGCGTTTACCAGGGAAGGCGTAGGCAGCTCGACACTGCTTCTGGGGCTCCGCCTCGTAAACACCATCGTCGTCGTCATCAAACTCGTCGTCAAATGATTCGGACGAGGTGGGCTGCGAGGGGCCGCACGTGGGCGTGGGGCTGCCGGGACAGAAAGACAGGAGACAGAATGGGACAGTGTGGGGAGGTCAGAGAGAGAGAGAGAGACTGTGAAAAAAGAAAATAGCTGGCTTGATCCACAGACGACGAGGCCCCGATGATTCTCATTAATTCAACTCAGAAATCGCACTCAGCCTGGGGGCCCCCAGCGGTCAGTGGACCGCGGCCAAAGGCACCACAGGGAGGGAGGAGGGGAGAGACCCATTGGATCCCTACTGCAGCAGAGCTGGTGGTTGTTTTTACCCAAATCATGCAAAAAAGTGCACAAGCTGGCGCTGACGAACCGGATACGGAAGTCCAACATGTTGCACGCTGTGGTCACAGTGCAAATCCCATTGTAATGTACGTGAGTGTTTTTCTAAATGTATTAGTCTGCCTGTGGCTGCAGCTATCCCCATGAGAGGCGGGACGAGTAGCTAGTTAAGTCGAATGGCTGACCAAAAATTGTAATCGCCTACTTCCTTTATGATCGAGTATGAGGCTTCGTAGACAATGGCCGCCGGCCCGACATCCCGAAGGCATTGAAACCCCCACACAAACCACGCCCAAACGTGATGCAGGCAATGTTGCTGATGACATCACCAAGCCCCGCCCATCGAGTCCCATCCAACAGCACACGTTCGAGTAACCGAAATGACAATCGGGAGAGTGTTCGATGATCAAATAATCAAAGGGAACAGCTCTCATCCACACCACGCCGGGGAAAGGTTAGGAAGGCCAAGGTTATGAATCTCACGCGCTGGATTATTCGCTTACGGCACGAATGCACTCACCCACCCGAAAAGCAGCCTTAGAGCCAGGCCGCAATGTACGTGTTTATGTATGTATGTTGAACTTCTTTCGCACCGTACGTAGCCAACTGTGCTAATCAGAAGTGCGAGGGAAGGACAACATGTATGTGCACATGTGTGTGTGTGTGTGTGCATGCACGTGTTATGGGTAGCGGTGGCGTAGCGGTTAGCACATTTCGCTACAAAGCCCGGTGACCCGAGTTCGATTCCCTTCACAGCCAACACCAGTGACGATAATCTGAACTGCTCTTGAGCCTCCGTAAGGGTGACTCAGCCTCAAAAGAGTACCTGGTTCCACTGGTGAGACAAAGGCGGCCGGGCGTGGTGTTGGCCATCTACCCCCTCGTGTTGACACTGCTGGCCTTCAAAGGTGCTCACTAACAGCACTTGCCACAACAGTCTGTTAAGGCTACATGGGGGATCTTTGTGTTTGTGTGCCCATCTGTATGTGATGAGTAGGGGGGGGGGGGTGTGCTAGTGTAGCGGTTAGCGCACCAAACTACAAACCCAGCGACCAGAGTTCAGTTCCTGCTCACGACCAATAAGTTTTGCGAATATTGTAACCGGTCCTCTAGGTCGACTCAGCCTTTAGTGAATAGGTGGTGCGGTGCATAAACATCAGCACAGGGGAAACAAAGGCGGTCGGTAGTGGTGCTGGTCACCCACCCCCATCGTGTGTCATGCCAACCTTCATAAGTGCTCGCTAAAAGTACTTGCCCCAAAAAGTCTGTGAAGGTTATACGGGGATCTTTGTCTTTGTGGAGAGTTTTGGTGATAACTGAAGCCCATCCTGGGCCTCTCTATGTGTTGACCCAACTTGAATTAAGTGCAAACATCATTACTGGGCAAGGCAAATGCGGCCAAAGATGGCGCTGGTCACACGAGCGCCTTGTGGGGCGCGTTCAGCCTTAACAGGTGTGTGGCCCATGCACAGCACGAGCCCCAACAGTCTATACACGCTGTACCAGGGGGCGGTGGTGGGGGGGCTCTTTATTGATCTGTGCGCATATAAGAGTGTCATGTGCCTCGGGGTGACTGTTGACGAGGGAATTCCATTCACACACGATGGCATCGCACCTCTCCGGCGGTCCCTGAGAGACTCGGTAGGAGCTCGTGCGAGAGGAGATGGAACGCGACAGGGGTTTCCCATCCACCTCCATCATCCAGGTCTGCACGCGCGCGCGCACGCACGCACACACACACACAAAGACAACGATCACCGATATAGCCTGTAGTAGGCCGATGGAGCAAGTGCTGCAAGTGAGCACCTAAGAAGGCCAGCACGGCGCACGGGGTGGTGGGTGGCCAGCGACACGGCCGGCCGCCTTTGTTTCCCGAGTGCTGGTGTTCTACACGCCGCACCAGGTACTCGACCTAGGGGAGGGCTCAAGAGCGATTCAATTATTTGCTACCGTTATTGGTCTTGGCCGGGGACAAAACTCGGGCCACCTTGTTTATAGTGCAGTGTGCTAACGACAACACTGCCGCTCCCCACACCCCTGCACAGGCATGCAGGAAAATGCACACACATTGTGTTCAGCCCTTTGTCAATCCGCTGCTGGATGAAGGCCCCCCAAAGCCACATCGGTCGTTGAGGTTGCGTTATCATACTTCATCATGCTAGTCAGTGTCTCACAAACTGCCTCGCACTGTCCCACCAACTGCCTCGCACTGTCCCACCAACTGCCTCGCACTGTCACACCAACCGCCTCGCACTGTCACACCAACCGTCTCGCACTGTCCCACAAACTGATCAGATTATTTCCTCTCCCCTTCTGTTTTCCATTTTCAAAACCATCTTCGTCATATCTCCAGCTGATCCTTTTGGAATACAACAAAATAAACATGCAGGCAACACGTCGCCTTTACATAACCGTCTCGCCACATGAAATTTTAAGTATTTGTTATATAATCCATCGGCCGCAGAGCCCTCTTCCAGGAGGGCATCCTCTTAGGAGCATTAATTCAAATTCCAGCACTGGTTTTTCGACATACCAGTGTCTCGTCAGCAGAGCCGGGCTCACTTGTAATCAATGCCAGAAAACTGCCGAGCTTACAGGCAAGGTATGCCTCTTCAAGATATTGGTAAACACTCATTAGTTGGCCGATAACACCTTAATATAGAGAGGACTGCAGAGCTTGGACAACTGCAATGTTGGCGCAGCCTCGTCACGTGGCTGCTTTCCTGCCCGTCTGTGGTCGCTCGCACTTCAAAGTTGTTATTTTATTTTGCGTTTCCTGAAGAACACCGCGTAATGGAAAAATCGCATGAAAAAATAATATATATAACATGCGGTGAAGCACAGTCCGCAATAACGGCGTGAGATGCGCACGCAGGATGAACAAAGACTGAGGCGCTTGGGTAGCATCTAGAAGCATACAGCAGCATCCCGCTGTGTGTGATGATGCTACGCTGAGGCAGCCGTACAACCGCTTCTCTGTTCACTCAATCGCGTGATTTCCAATTTGCATCCGCATTGATGTAAAAATGAGTTCCCCAATACATTCATCGCGTGATATCCAATTTGCTTTACGGAGAACAGACTGCACCTATCCGGTGCGTTACAAGTTGAGACGATCACTGTCACGGGATACAGCGCGGCGTGCCAGCCGTAGCACCACCGCTCCATTACCTCATACTTGTGCAGCTCCTGCTTGAGCTTGTCGAGTCGCAGCTTGTTCTCGTGGATCTGCGGGTCGAGGATGGCCGTGTCTCCCAGCTGCGGGTTCTTAGTGTACACGTCACGCATCTTTTGCAGCGCCACGCTGCGACCCAGGCAAGGACACATGCGCACGCACACAGAGCACACATGCACAGAAAAAAAGACAACGATCCCCTACATAACCTTAACAGACTTTAGGAGTAAGTGCTGTTATAGCGAGCACCTATTAAAGGCAAGCAAGAGGGTAAAGACACACACACACCTTCCTCGTAAGCCTTACACGCTCGCCAGTGGCAAGGGTTGTTAGCGAGCACGTATGAAGGCAAGCACGTCACTCGTAGGGGATAGCTGGCCAGCACCATGCACGGCCACCTTTGTGGTACTAATTGAAGGCCGATTCTACCTATGGCAGGCCCAAAACCGGTTCAGATATTCGTCAAAGATGTTGGCCATGAGCGACAATCGAACTCGGTCGAGGGGTTCGTTGTGCTGCCTCTTGGTGAGTGCTTGCAGACCAACAGTGGCGGTGCAGCACTAAAGTATTGGGGCAGGTAACGACTCATTCACCCAGACGTTCGATCAATCGCTGCGATTAGATGAAATAATCTATTCTTTCATCTCAATTTTTATCACCTCATTTATTTTGGCTATGGTTGTTTTTTTTTGGCCTGTTCATCCTGTTTTGTTTACACCATGAGTGTAAATGTCACATTTGCATATATTTAAAAAAAAACTTTTCATAATCCGATGAATGCATCTCGAAATCATCCCTTTTCCCATTCATTGGAACAGAATAGGGAGTAATAAGCCACGCGGGAGGGCGTGTGGCGTAGTTTGGCACCGGCTATCATCGAGTATGGTCATGTCCATATTCTTAGTTTTTTCGGTAAAGTCACGTTGAAGAGAAACAACAGAATAACAAAATATATATAAAACAATAAAAAATTCTCACGACGTTTCGACCATAACTCAAACGGTCATCATCAGATGACCGTTTGAGTTATGGTCGAAACGTCGTGAGTTGTTTCTCTTCAACGTGACTTTACCGAAAAAACTAAGAATATGAATTACTGCAGTCACGAAAGCTTTAAATCAAAATTTATGGTCATGTCGTTATGGTTCTCGGCGGTGAGTACAATGTCTTTAAAATAACGGCGCTAAGCTTCTCACTAAGATTAACGCCAAACACTTGCACGCTCCGAGATTCAGCGGTGAACGGGACCCGCCCTATAACTTGCAGACATCTCGGAACGGGAAAGCGTTAAGAATCCGTTTTTATTGACGGATCAATACTTTGTTGCGTGCTTACAAAACTTTACTGGCTCCTGACATGGATATGTGAAATTTCCATGAATGGCTCATGGCCACCTACAGAGTTAAGTGCTGCCCCATGCTCCGTTGAGTATGGGGGCATTCTTTAGCTTGATTCAGTACGCACTGCGGTGGCTGCCATAGCGTTCAGGAGCTAAATGCCAAAGTTGAGTTCCTGCTAGTAGCCACGAGCGGGCTTCAGGAGAGAGATTTTTTGTCGTAGACTACAGTGGCTCACAACACGGTCCAAAGTTTGGGTTGCATGGCAGTAGTCGCACTGCTGTGGCTTGTGTCTTTCATTTTCCCTTCGTGAAGGAGATGTGTGTGCATTTGCTTTTTGGTCTTCTGATGCGGTTGATGGTTAAAGGGGTCTCTTTGAGAAATATCAAAATCAGGAGGTGCTTTGTTTGGGTCTTGAATTTAGGTGTTTATTCTGCTGTTCGTCAGAGTTATTCTGGACCTGGGTGAGATTCTAGGATGGTGACTGCACGATCCCCTACAAGGGGGAACCAGGACTTGAGCAGCAGTGAGAAACATCGTTGAGGTCTTGGGTTGATGGGTACGGATGTTGTTGGCAAGAAAACGTGCAAATCGTGTGAAATATGATGTGTGCAAACGAGACAGTACAATAGTTTCCATTCACCGCGCATTGACACGCACCTCTGGTCCGACTCCTTGGCGATGTCACGGTTTAATTCATCCATCTTGTGCTGCAGCTTCTTGCGCCTTTGTTCGGGGGGCAGGTGGCTGAAGTCTTCAGCTGGGGGGCCCTAGACACGTGCACACACACACTCACTATGGTTGGCGCAATATGGCAATTAGATATTTAAAACCATTCAACTAAATGATGAAACATTTTTTTTTATTATTGTACCAGGTTAGGCCCACTGAGCTACATAGCTCTTTTTTCAGAAGAGACCTGGCCACAAATGACAGCTCAACAAACTTGCTTATAACGTGGAAATTTATAGCAGCCAAATACCCAAAATCACTTGGCTGAAAATCAAACTCAGGTGACTGGGTTCATACTGCCGTGCATGAATCACTACGCAAACAATGTACCACACTTACCCCAACAGAGTGTTGAGGCAAGTGCTGATAGCGAGCTGCACAGATGAAGGCCGGCACGGCACAAGTGGGGGTGGGTGGCCAGCACCACGCCCGGTCCCCCTTTGTGGTACTCATGTAAGAGTCCATACTCTTTGGTTCTATTCGGTAAAGTCACGTAGGTAAAAAATAAAACAACAAAAATCACGACGTTTCGGCCACAACACAAGTGGCCTTCATCAGGTGAAGGGACTGTACTGTGAGAGAGGGAAAAAAAACGCTTTGACAAAGGAATTAGCATAAAATGCTGTAGAGGACCTTTGTCAAGACCTGGGCTTGGCTGTCTTCACTCCAACGCTGTCCTCTGGACAGTACGGTCCCTTCACCTAATGAAGGCCACTTGTGCTGTGGCCGAAACGTCGTGATTTTTGTTGTTTTATTTTTTACCTACGTGATTTTACCGAATAGAACCAGAGTATGGATCCTTGCAGTCACGAAAGCTTCAAATCTAGAACTCATGTAAGAGGCTCGGCTCCTAGTGGTCAAAACGTGCCGGTAGACACGGAGCTAAAATTTAAATAAAACATGCACAGTGTAATTGTGATTGGCGAAACACCAACAATGCTGAATAATAACCTGCAGGTTACTCATTTGGGCTTACACACAGCGACAGTCCATTAAGCATGCCAACGTTGGGATGTGGATGGAACCATTGGCCCAACATTCCATGCTTATTGAGATGGCCTCCCAAGTAAGAAAACCTGGCAGGACATTCCCGAAAAAGTTTCTTAAGACTCCGTGAGACTGTCTTTCGTAATACAAAAAAACCGACATGAAGCCAAACCGGAACTTCTCAGAACACAAATCCTTGCTATCAGCACGGTTCCTATTCTACGATGTCTCCGCAGAAGGGGAACGGCAGTGAAATGTGTGCTGCAGGACGGGTAGGTTCCACACCGGCACCTCTCTACACTTACACTCGGGATTTCCTGACAAAATATTCACAAAGTAACCAAATCGTCAATTGAAAGTGTTACCAAATAGCAATTATCCATCAAATGAGCGCTTTGCAAATATTTTGCAGAGTCGTCGATGCCATGATGATTATGGTATGGCATCATGACCTTCGTAGTTATGTTAAGTAATTTAGCGAAACCGACACTTGTAAATTCTATGCTGCCCACCATCAACTAACCCGCACAAACTGATTACTGTACACGTGTAGCGTTTCAACCTGGACTGACAAGTGCTGCTACGCAAGCGCCAATCAAAGACGGCAAGGAGGACAAACAGTGGGTGCTGTGGTCAGCACCACACACAAGACGCAACAGCAACAAGAACAGCCGCCGTTCGCCACCAAGTGGCAGGACGTTTTAGGGCAGAAGGCTCGCTGACAGGATGGCATGGGATAGACCCAGGTGTGACACACACACAGACAAAGATCCCCCGTAAAGCCTTCACAGATTGTCGGGGCAAGTGCCATCAGCGAGCACCTATGAAGGCCCGTCAGGGCATACAGGGGGAGTGGTGGATGGCCAAGCGTGACACAACTTGCCACCTTTGTCTCCCGAGTGGAAATATTTACACACTGCACAAGGTACTCATTTTGAGGCCGAGTCAACCTAGGAGAGGCCCACAACCAAGTCAGATAATCGTCCCTGGTGTTGGCTGTGAGCGGGAATCGAATTCAGGTTGCCGGGTTTGTAGGGCAGCACACTAACCGCTACATTGCCGCACATGCTCACACAAAAGGCAAAGATTTCCCGTAAAGCCTTCAAATACTTTTGGGGCAAGTGCAGTTAGCAAGCACCTATTAAGGTCGGCACGGCACACGAAAGCTGATATTTTACACACGGCACAAGGTACTGATTCGAATCAACCTCGGGGAGGGCCAGGTCTGGTTGAGATAATCGTCACTGGTGTTGGTCAAGAGCGGGAATTGAACTCGGGTGGCCAGGTTTGTACAACAGCGCACGAACCACCAGTGGCGGCTCGTGAAATTGCCACCAGGTGGGGCTGTTGTGATTGACCTCTGAAAAGATGGTGTTCTAATTAAGAAAAACCTCGTTATGTTATTGACCTTCACGTGAAAGTTATATACAGTGAAACCTTGGATTGCGAGCATAATTCGTTCCGGAAACGTGCTCATAATCCAAAGCACTCGTATATCAAAGCGAATTTCCCCATAAGAAATAATAGAAACTCAGATGATTCATTCCACAACCCAAAAATACTGTATTCATATAAAAATGATTAATACAAAATGCCTCTTATTATCTAAATTTAATATAAAGTAATCACATTTATTAATTATATTTAATCGTGGCTGGTGTGAGGGAGACGAGAGAGAGGAGGAGGGTTATTGTGTAGGACGACTTTCACTTGCAGTAGTTACTAAAGAACAGTCACGACACTTGGACACAAAATAAAAAAAATGCTTTACGCACACACACGTGCTCACAACACTATAGTGCTGTAGTAAACAGTACACACGTGGTCACACCACTATAGTACTGTAGTAAACAGTATACGCTCGCACGGATGTTGACTATACGAGTGAGGCACGCCGACTGAGACCAAGCATGGGAGATGATTACCCACAATCCCGCAGCGAGAGAGAGAGAAGAACCACTGGCTCAGTTGTGATCACGTGACGCTCGGCAGACAAAGCGTGTACACGTGCTGCTCGTATTGCAAGACCTCGCTCGTTTATCAAATTAATATTTATTTAAAAAAATTTGCTCGTCTTGCAAAACACTCGCAGACCAAGTTACTCGCAATCCAAGGTTTTACTGTAGTTTATAGTTTACACAGTGTTAATCTCCTTACAGATGTTACCGCAGAGCTGTGATGGGAATGGAACTAGCGGCTTCGATGCAAGTGGCGCGGTGCAAAGCCCCACAGAACATTGAACCGCTTGGGCCAGCTGAACAGATTCTGGGCATTTTTATTTATTTCAATGTTTTAACTGGTTTGTGCGTGCGAAGATGCAATTTTGTGCTCTGAAAAATGTTTCATTTCAAATGCGTAGTCGTGGATTTTAAGCGTGAAGGTGTTTGCAATAACGTTTTCCATTTCTTCCGGCTCTGTAGATGTTGAATCTTACACACGCGCACACGGAAATCAACGTGCGACCTGTTAATCCTTGTACTTTTATATGTAACCTGACCCCAGTTTTGTTGAGCTCGAGGTTAACATTCAGTTGTTGTTGTTGTACCAACAAAACTGGTCACAATAAGCTGTGGTTACAAGTGCCCACGCGCAGGCATGCACGCACATGCATGCACGCACATGCATGCACGCACATGCATGCACGCACATGCATGCACGCACATGCATGCACGCACATGCGTGCCTTATCCTATCAACGGTGAGGCATTTAGAAACAATACGAAACGAAACAACAAAGCACTAAAATGCTGTCCCCATGGCCTCCAAGTCCACACCACACAACCCCCCTTGACATTTGCAAAAGCCTAAAGAACAATTAAAGACCAGGAGCCAGTTGCTTGACAATAAACTTCTCCTGCAAAGTCGTCCTTCAAATGTAATATTAGGAGCGACTCCACGGTGTTCGTTGCTAGTTATTTTCTCGCTGCGCCTGCTGCCATAGCCATTGCTGTTGTTTCCTTCTAGAGCGTGTGTAGGCCGCAACCTCCGATATTTGCACACTGCAACTTCGCGTCGTCACATCAGCTCATTACAGCCATCAGCGCCTTTTTCACCACCCCAAATGTGTCTTAAAGGCATGGTTAGAATGCGAAACTAATCGCAATGAATGAAGGGATATCTCTCACTCGGACACCTTCAAAGCCGCCCCGAGACCTCCGCAAAGCACAAATCAGACTGTGGTGCTGCAGGGGTTTCGAATATGAACAACTTAAAATGTTATCTTGATTAGGCAATTCACGTTGAAAGAATCATTATATCTATAACTAAACAACAAAATAATCGACAGGAGAGTATTTTTTATTAGAAAAATAATTTCTCATCTCCAGCTGCTTGGTGCGGTAGTGCCCCAATGCCTCTAGTGGACGAACCGTGCCTGCCAACCACGACTCTACCCCTCTCCACGTACACACACACACACACACCTTGGTACGTTTCCAGGGCCAAAGAATGAGCTTCCCTTTGCCCGATGCTCCCAGGTCATGTGACCCCGCCTGGCTAAGATCTTCGAAGGCGACGTCGCCTGGAATCTGGAAGCCTGACTTGTAGGCTTCGATGACCCGCTGTGCATCCTGAGCAGGCAAATGCAAAAAAACAACAACAGGGAAAGTCGGGCGAGTTCAACAACAATGCCATGCAGAGCACGACACGACACTGATACCACAATCGGGATCAAATTTAAAAAAAACAACAGAACAATGCCGCACCACTTGTTGTGCCATGGTAGGAAGGAATCAACTCGCAATCTAAAGGTTAGGGGTCAACTAAGCCCATCATCCCTCTTTAGTAAATACAATTATTACCTTTTGTGTGAAGTCAACAGCATAGATTGTTGGGAGTTTCAAAAGTGGGGACCCTATGGCTACGGAGAGACCGGTCCCCGCCATCACAATGTGGAATTTTCAACACAACTATGCATGCATGTACGTTGAACTCCTTTCACGCCGTAACGTAGCCAACCAAGCGATTCGGAGGTGCGGGGGGAAGGACGACAAACGAAACACAAAGAGCAGTTCTAAGGAAATGCGTTTTCGACCTAGATTTAAAAGCGCACGTGCATGCCGTATGTGCATATGCGTAGCTGTACGCGTCTGCGCGTGCGCGCGCAAAGTGCCGGTACGCACCGTGTCGGGCTGCACCGAGTCCGCCGCCTTCTTCATGCCCTCGACGCACTTGGACATGATGGGCAGCACCTCCTGCTCCCTGGAGGCGGTGATGGTGAGGGCAGCGCCCACCGCGCTCACCCTCTGCCCGTCGAGCTCCTGCAGGGACTGCATGCACACGCGGGGGGGGGGAGGGGGGGGAAGGGGGGGAGCAAGCGTTCGCCACGAACGCGTTACTGACGATACCTCCCACCCCAACGTGACGTGACGTCACGTGACGTCACGTGACGTCACGTGACGTGACGTGACATGACGGACGCGCGCGGCAGCGCGGGGGCCGGGGACGCGCGGTCACCTTCAACACGCTGGGCATGACGGTGAAGTAGTGCTTCTTCTGCTCATCGTTGAAGGTGGAGTGCAGCATCGCATATTCGGCCTTGCTCTCGTCGTGCGCGCGCTGCCTCTGGGCGGCCTGCTGCTTGGCCTGCACACGCACACACGCGGGTCGCCATTGAGCAGCCCCGGCTCAATGTTTACGAAAATTAAACAACGTGCGCTCGTATAGCGGCGTCTAAACGCAAGCGCACCCTCCGGACGCTTTCGCCGGGTGGGTGTGGGAGGGAAATAAAACCCGACGATGAGCTGTCCCCCGCTCATGAAAACAAGTGCGACCTTAAGTCTCAACTGCAGAGTTCAAGAGGAAGAGGATTGCGGGCAGCAGGAGCAGAAGCCGAGAAGGAGCGACAAGCACCAATCAATCATCGAACATCGGGCCGGCTAAACCGCCGCTTTTGGTCGGCGATCGCGGTGAAGCCAATCGAGGGGGAAAGCATTGGCGGGGAGAAGTGGGGGCGGGGTTTTGAAGCGCGCTGCAGACAGAGACTGTCACGCGGCGCGTGGGCAGCAAGAAGAACCCACACGGGTAGGGCCCAGCGAGAAATCGGCGAAAGGTCAGAGATCTATACGCCGTGATAGAAGGACACCGATTAGGTGGGCCGGGAAAACCTGGGGGCAGCGTTTTGGAATTTTGGTAAAGTGGAGGGAAAATGGAACGGAGGCGGACAAGAGTCTAGGATAGACAGACAGCGTTGTAAATGTAACCGTTTTGAAAGTACACCGATGTTATGGCGAATCTCAAAATCAGGATGGCGTTGCTTCATCATCATCATCATCAAGGTCACAAAACGACTGAGAGCGGGAGAGGAGGAGGGAACTATCATTAGATACGCTTTTTTAAAAGTCAGAGCAGGGAATGGCGCACATCCCCGCTGGTAACTCTGAGCCATAGGAATATTCCACATTCCCATGACCCGGACCAATCCTAACGTGTGACCACTGCCGACTCAGCATAGACTGGTACTGGCTTGGTCCAAGCTGCATGGAGCATGGGCCGAATTTTAAATGTGGACTTTGAAATGTGATATTATAGCTGTGAGGTTAACCTCCAAGCCAATGTTAGTGGGTATTTTATTAATTCGTAAATGTTTAAGGTTACGAGTTAAAATTCCATTCGAGAATTAATTTCGCCCATCATCTCATCTTTTTTTCGGTCGAATTAAACCAGGTACCACTTACTGGGATGTCAACAAATTGTTCGATGTAGAAACCGGCCCCCTCTACCAGTGACTCAGCGGCGTGCTCCATTTCTTGAGCGTTGCCGCCTTTAGAGTTTTTTTTTAATTTGCCGAGCAAAGCGTCACCGAGTTTCAGGACTAAAGAGGGTTTCCGCTAAGGACATGTCCACGGTTAATGGCCTTGCCCTAACACCACACCTCTGAGCCACGTTCGTTTTGGAAGATCATTCAGTTACTGCTTACACCACAGGCTCTCCCTTACCTTATCAATTTCAGCCTTGATGCCTTCTGATTCCGTTTTCTCCAGGAGCTGCTGAGCTTTCTCCCACTCCCGGAATTCCCGCTCGTACCGTCTTCTGGCCTGCATCGGAAGCACGTGACACGCACGACATTATATAGGCGCACGTAAGTATATGCGCGCAAGTAAATACGCGCTTGAGAAAACACGCCCGCTCTCAGGCTCAAGGAATTGATTTCAGATGGGAAGGCCCCGTTGAGCTAAGCCAGTGGTTCTCAAACTTTTTTGGCTACTGTACCCCTTGGTTAAATTTCGTTTCAACCGAATGTAAAACTCTTTTGAACTGGATGAAAACATCTTGATATACAGCGAGGGAAAAAAATTATTGATCCCCTGCTGATTTTGTACGTTTGCCCACTGACAAAGAAATGATCAGTCTATAATTTTAATGGTAGGTTTATTTGAACAGTGAGAGACAAAATAGCAACAAAAACATCCAGAAAAATGCATGTCAAAAATGGTATAAATTGATTTGCATTTTAATGAGGGAAATAAGTATTTGACCCCCTCTCAATCAGAAAGATTTCTGGCTCCCAGGTGTCTTTTATACAGGTAACGAGCTGAGATTAGGAGCACACTCTTAAAGGGAGTGCTCCTAATCTCAGCTTGTTACCTGTATAAAAGGCACCTGTCAACAGAAGCAATCAATCAATCAGATTCCAAACTCTCCACCATGGCCAATACCAAAGAGCTCTCCAAGGATGTCGGGGACAAGATTTTAGACCTACACAAGGCTGGAATGGGCTACAAGACCATTGCCAAGCAGCTTGGTGAGAAGGTGACAACAGTTGGTGCGATTATTCGCAAATGGAAGAAACAAAAAAGAACTGTCAATCTCCCTCGGCCTGGGGCTCCATGCAAGATCTCACCTCGTGGAGTTGCAATGATCATGAGAACGGTGAGGATTCAGCCCAGAACTACACAGGAGGATCTTGTCAATGATCAAGGCAGCTGGGACCATAGTCACCAAGAAAACAATTGGTAACACACTACGCCGTGAAGGACTGAAATCCTGCAGCGCCCGCAAGGTCCGCCTGCTCAAAAAGCACATATACATGCCCGTCTGAAGTTTGCCAATGAACATCTGAATGATTCAGAGGACAACTGGGTGAAAGTGGTATGGTCAGATGAGACCAAAATGGAGCTCTTTGGCATCAACTCAACTCGCCGTGTTTGGAGGAGGAGGAATGCTGCATATGACCCCAAGAACACCATCCCCACCGTCAAACATGGAGGTGGAAACATTATGTTTTGGGGGTGTTTTTCTGCTAAGGGGACAGGACAACTTCACCGCATTAAAGGGACGATGGACGGGGCCATGTACCGTCAAATCTTGGGTGAGAACCTCCTTCCCTCAGCCAGGGCATTGAAAATTGGTCGTGGGTGGGTATTCCAGCATGACAATGACCCAAAACACACGACCAAGGCAACAAAGGCGTGGCTCAAGAAGAAGCACATTAAGGTCCTGGAGTGGCCTAGCCAGTCTCCAGACCTTAATCCCATAGAAAATCTGTGGAGGGAGCTGAAGGTTCGAGTTGCCAAACGTCAGCCTCGAAACCTTAATGACTTGGAGAAGATCTGCAAAGAGGAGTGGGACAAAATCCCTCCTGAGATGTGTGCAAACCTGGTGGCCAACTACAAGAAACGTCTGACCTCTGTGATTGCCAACAAGGGTTTTTCCACCAAGTATTAAGTCATGTTTTGCAAAGGGGGTCAAATACTTATTTCCCTCATTAAAATGCAAATCAATTTATAACATTTTTGACATGCGTTTTTCTGGATTTTGCTGTTATTATTCTGTCTATCACTGTTCAAATAAACCTACCATTAAAATAATAGACTGATCATTTCTTTGTCAGTGGGCAAACGTACAAAATCAGCAGGGGATCAAATACTTTTTTCCCCTCACTGTATGTAGAAGACCACAGAGTTTGGGCAATTGTCGGCGCCAGATCACCGCCTGGCTGCTGCCTTTCGAGCGTGTCTGTGGTTCCTTCTCGTGCCTCTGACTATCTGTGGTGTATACATTCTTAAAAAATAATGCAAATTCCGGTCATTCCCTTCGCAGCTTTTGGCTAACCATCGAATAAGGACAGTCACTACAGCGCTTTCAGATGCGCTTCTTCTGCAGCTGTCTGGAACGCTCTTCCTTCCAATATTAGGAAGCCACTGGAGCTATGCACTTTTAAATCATTTGGATTGAAAACTATTTCTTGAGAACTGATTTTTGTGTTTAGTTTGTTGTCCTTCCCCCGCGCCTCCAATTAGCACGGTTATCTACGTCCGATGCGAAAGAAGTTCAAAATACACACACACATACATGTGCACTGTGAATTGACAGGGCCGTTAAGTCATATGCAGCAGTGGAAAATTAACCCACTCACACAGATGGGGCAGCAGCTGCAGTGCGTGAGTGTGACTGATGCTTGCTGGTCTTCTCTCCCGTGCGTAAGCACGTGAAAGTATGTTTTGACTGCTGTGGACGTGCTGCTGCTGTTGCTGAGAGTGTAAGCTTGTATCTCACCACTTCAAGCTGCTTTCCACAATTCTCCAGGTTTTGCTGATGGCGCTTTCCATCCATTAACATCTAAAATGCACAACCCAGAAACACGCACGCACACGCACGCGTGCACACACCACAGTTAGAGACGGAGAAGTGCTTCAAACGCACCTGCAAATCCATTCTCACGCGCGCCGTCCGGCTCCACAGGTGAAGGTACGAGATGACACGGGGTGGGGCTCACAGATCGGAGATTTGAGATCAGAGCTGGCACCCACGGTGTTAATACGGGCTACTCGCTTAATTTGGGATATTCCATCTGGGAACATATTTACATTTCGGTTTACTTGACGTGTGTGTGTGTGTAAGCATGTGTGCGTATACATTTTATATTGTGGGGAGCGGTAGTGTTGCGGTTAGCGCGCTGAGCTGCAAACCCGGCGATCCGACTTCGATTCCCGCTCACAGCCAACACCAGTGATGATTATCTGAACCGGTCCTGGGCCTCCCCAAGGTCGACTCAGCCTCAAACGGGCACCTGGCGCAGCGTGTAAACATCACCGCCCGGGGAAATAAAGGTGACCGGGTTTTGGCGTTGGCCACCCACCCCCCCGCGTGTGCCATGCCTGCTTTCACAGGTGCTGGCAGCTAACAGCACTTGCCCCAACAGTCTGTCAAGGCTACATGGGGGCCCTCTGAATGCATATCGTGTGTGCGTGTGCATGCCTCTCACCGTCTTGCGCTCGTGCTTGACCATCGTGTGCACGCGCAGCAGCTCCGTCGCGACCTTCCCCATGAGCGTCTCGGCCACGAGCTCCCTCTGGCCCGCGAAGTCGCCCACCTCGTTAGTCAGGTTCTCCATCGCGCACACGTACGTGTACCTGTGCCGGACACGCACACGGGATGACGACGTTGACGAAGAGGGGGTGGAGGAGATGGCGCCACTCGCCACCAAACGAAATGATTAAACTATTTTCTATTGTACCAGGTAAGGGCCACTCAGCTGTATAAGCTCTTTTTTCAGAAGTGACCTGGCCTTAAATGATAGCTCAACGAAGTGGCTTTTCACGTGGAAATTTTAAGCAGCCAAATAGTCTAAACACGCGATGTGGATTCGAAATGTGGAGGGGAAAACCGGAAGAATCTACATGACCACGAGGAGAGGACACACGCAAACTCCAAATATACAGCAGCAGGCGTCAGGGTCGTGATCGAACCCACGACCTCCTGTACACCAGGCGAGGTAGTTAACATCTCGCCACGGGGAGAGAGAGAGAGACACGCAAACTCCAAATATACAGCAGGTGTCAGGGTCGGGATCGAACCGACGACCTCCTGTATACCAGGCGAGGTAGTTAACATCTCCTAGCTACCGTGATGATGATGATGATGAGCGAGAGAGAGAGACACGCAAACTCCAAATATACAGCAGGCGTCAGGGTCGGGATCGAACCGACGACCTCCTGTATACCAGGCGAGGTAGTTAACATCTCACCACGGGGAGAGAGAGAGAGACACGCAAAATCCAAATATACAGCAGCAGGTGTCAGGGTCGGGATCGAACCGACGACCTCCTGTATACCAGGCGAGGTAGTTAACATCTCACCACGGGGAGAGAAAGAGATACGCAAACTCCAAATATACAGCAGCAGGCGTCAGGGTCGGGATCGAACCGACGACCTCCTGTATACCAGGCGAGGTAGTTAACATCTCACCACGGGGAGAGAAAGAGACACGCAAACTCCAAATATACAGCAGCAGGCGTCAGGGTCGGGATCGAACCGACGACCTCCTGTATACCTGGAGAGGTAGTTAACATCTCATAGCCAACGTGGTGAGAGACAGCACAAGGAAATAAAGTCCTTTATTCGTTCACGTCACCAAATCATGTTTCACGGGTCCCGAGGGGGAATTGACCAGTGTCACGAGGCAGACACTAGATGGCGGTATATAAAGGTCACTGAAATTGCTGCCAGAATGTTTAAGTCAGGGGTGTCCAAACTACGGCCCGCGGGCCAACTGCGGCCCGCGGTCCAGTTTTTATTGGCCCGCAGCAAATTCTGAAAATATAATTGAATATGGCCCGCACAAGAAGCTTGAGCTCAACTCTGTTGCACTTCTCAGTTTCAACACTAGATGGAGCCAGCCACGGAAACCGCGCTTCTCCACTAAACAAAATGAAGCAAAGAAAAACTTTAACCGCGAGTCACCAGAAATGGCAGCACCGAAGAAACGCAAAATAGCAAGTGGGTGTAGAAGATTTCAAACACGGTGGGAAAATGAATATTTTTTCAAAGAAATCAACGGAAAGTGTGTCTGTTTGATTTGCAATGAAGATGTTGCTGTGATGAAAGAGTATAATGTCCGTCGGCACTATGAGACCAAACATCAGAGCTACACATCGTACACCGGTGCCGAACGAACACAGAAAGTCAAGCAAATGGCGGCTAGCCTGCAAGCTCAACAACAATTGTGTTTTCGTGCTAACAAAATACAGGAAAACGCCACAACGGCAAGCTATGAAGTCACTAAACTTATTGCCCAGCACGGGAAACCGTTCTCAGACGGTGATTTCATAAAGCAGTGCCTCATCAAAGTCACAGAAATAATGTGCCCGGAAAAAGTGCAGGATTTCAACAGCGTGAGCTTATCCAGAAATACAGTGGTGTGGAGAATCGAGGACTTGTCAGCTAATTTGAAACTTCAGCTGAGAGACAAAGCTTGTGCTTTTGATTTTTACTCGATAGCATGCGACGAGAGCACAGATGCCACAGACACCGCGCAGCTGTTAATTTTTTTGCGGTGAGTAGATGGTAATTTTTGCTGTACGGAGGAACTGCTTGATATGATGAGCCTAAAAGGCACAACGACGGGTAGAGGTATTTTTGAAGCTGTGTCAGAGGCAGCTGAAAAGATGGGGCTTAAATGGGACAAGCTCTGTGGAGTAACAATGGATGGAGCTCCGGCCATGACGGGCGAGCGCAAAGGAATGGCATCGATGGTGTGCGCCAAGGTAAAAGAGAGCGGAGGTGAGGCTGTTAGGATGCACTGTATAATCCACCAAGAAGCACTGTATGCCAAGAATGTCCAGCTGGGCGATGTGACGAACACTGTTGTAAAAACTGTCAACATAGTTCGAGCTAGAGGACTGTACCACAGAGAATTTCAAGCTTTCCTATCTGATGTGGATGCTGAATACGGGGATGTACTCTACCACTCTGATGTGCGCTGGCTCAGCCGCGGCTCTGTGCTGCAGCGGTTTTATTCGCAGAGATCAGAAATCGCCCAGCTTTTGAAAGAGAAGGGCCGACCTCTTCATGAACTGAGTGACCCTCTGTGGCTGGCAGACCTGGCATTTTTAGTTGATCTTACTCATCATCTGAATACACTGAACAAGAACCTACAAGGCAAAGACCAGCTGGTGCCACACCTGTATGCGCACATGAAAGCCTTCTGTGTAAAGCTCCGCCTGTTTGAGACACAACTACGAAGCTTTAATGCTGCACACTTCCCTGCGCTGTCTGAAATCAAGTATGCTTTTCCAAAGGCCGACCTTTCTGCTAAAAAGGAGAAATGTGTCTGTGATTGTATCTCTCGTGACAGAATTCAACCAGCGTTTCCAAGATTTTTCTGTCATTGAAAAACAAATCAAGCTGTTCTCGACCCCCTTCCTGGTGGATAAAGAAGAAGTGGAAGAGAGTCTGCAGTTAGAACTGATTGAAATGCAATGTGATGATTCTCTGAAGAGTCAACATCAGCTTCTTTCCCTCCCTGACTTCTATCAGAGTTTGGATAATGCCAAGTTTCCTCTGATGAGACGCCACACAAAAAGAATGATGAGCCTGTTCGGCTCAACATACATACGTGAACAAACATTTTCTCTGTTAAATCAGAACAAAAGCAGACTGAGAACCAGAATGACTGATAGCCATCTCTGTGAAGTCCTTCGTGTCTCAACCACCAAACTTTCTCCTGACATGTCAGCCATCCTTCAATCCAAAGGACAGCATCACTGCTCCCACTGAGTGCAATGTTCTTCACATTATAGGTGAGTTAGAAATACACACAGTATTCACATGTCAATATGTCACCTCTAGTGTGTGGCCCGGCCTTTTGTTTATTTTTCTGTATTTGGCCCTCACTAAAAAAACTTTGAACACCCCTGGTTTAAGTGTTCTCTCCCACCACGTTAATGGGTTTTCTCCGGGTACTTTGCTTTTTCCTCTCAAATGCAAATACTGAACGTGCAAATTATAAAGCCGCAGATTTCAGATATCACCCTGCTGGGAAAAAGTATTGCGACGTGTTGAACGTTTCCTTGACGGGAAAATAATTCCCGTATTATCATTATTGTCTTCCGAGGCAATCGGAGGTCATTACCATGGGGCCCAAAACCTTCTCTTCTCCCATTATCCCCGCTCACATGGAACTGCAACCAGGCAAGGAATCTAGGCAAGATTTTGTGGCCTACTTCTAAAGGCTCTGACCAAAAATAATAACGCATTGCAATGATCCAATAAGTGCTGATCATGTATGTTGAACTTCTTTCACACCGTACGTAATTAACCGTGACAATCGGAGATGGGGGGGGGGGGGGGGTAGGACAACAAACCAAACACAAAAAGCAATTATCAAGAAATTCGTTTTCAATCTAGATTATTTAAAAATGCATAGCTCCAGTGGCTTCCTAATATCGGAAGGAAGAGCGTTCCAGACAGCCGCAGAAGCGCATTTGAAAGCGCGCGATGCGGGGACCGACTTTGTTCGATGGCTAGCCAAATACCACTGTTGCGAGGATGACTGGAGGTCGCGTGACGGATTATGCTCATTGACGAGATCCGCGAGGTATTATGGTTCATTTGTGGCAAGCACTCTGTGTATAATGAGTGAATTGAAGTACGTCTTCAAACATGTCAAGGTACAGCCTTGCAGCTACGTGCTTTGACCACTGCTGGTAGATGGGCCTCCAGCAGAGGGAGCTCTATAAAACGCCTCTGTCGCAGGTGTATTTGGTCTACTCTTCCACACCGGCGGAACCCACACTTTACCCCCACCGCACACGACCTGCGGGTCAACCGCGGCGTAACCCACTCATGGGTGGAGTTAAGCACCATTGTTTCAACCGCTGTGATGGGAGAACGACTCGGCAGCCTTTGGATCGCAAGTCCAAGGAACGTTCCCCAAACGTGCAACGTGACAGGTACGCAATCAGGAACCTCCTCCGATTACCACAACGCCATCTTTTCAATTCACCGTAAATACCGGCAGCCCCTTGTTTTTGCCAGGAAGGGGGGGGGGGGAGGGGGCTTTGCCAAATGTTGGCGCTATCGAATCCTTTTCCAATCGTTTCACAGAAGCCTCGTACATGACAGGCCCTTCGTCGTCACGTTCTCGCCGCTTTTTCGACGACACGTCAATTTTCGGACCACAAGCACAACTTTTTATTTCCGGCCGGGAAGCAAAGCCGGCGCCTCCCGGTGCCTAACCCAGGTGGCTCCCGTTGCGCAGGTCTTGCTGGGGAAAAGTCTACGCTGCACAGACATTGACACCGATGCCCATAAGAGTGACCTTAACAGCCCCTTAACGGCTCCACAGCCACCCAGCAAAATTCCAAGCCTCTCTCAAAGCTCATGAACGCGCAGGAGTGTTTATTGAGAGACGGCAAATGAATGATAATCTATTTTTGCTCTTATTTCGTTTTCATCTTTCCCTGACTCATGATAATTTCAGTTTTAAACAGCGTCATACATGCGATTGCTTCTCACCAACACTGTCCAGTAATTACATATATGTATTAAAAAAAATCTGACGAAGGGCTAAAATCCTATTTATAGCAATTAAGAAAATGAAATGCTCAGAAAATAGAAATGAATTATTTAAAAAAAGGTATTAACAACAAAAGCAGCTATCACAACAGAGGTATATAAAATAATGTGTGGAACAATTATGTACACAGCTCTTAGCTTCTTACACCAGCAAGAGGAATTAGTCCACAGAGTGGCTTAACGTACCGAATCTCATCGTCCTCCTTCGAACTTTTCTTGGGCTGGTATTTCTTGACAAGTGATCTACGCGCGCACAAACACACACACAGAGCAACAGTTGTTAGAAGCAGAAATTGAAGAGGAATACACCGTGTGAGGCTGGCTGGCTCGGTGGTAGCATGTCCGCAACTGATCAACTAGACGTGGAATGAAGGCGTCAGCTCATCATCATCATCAGGCATGCTCAATCCACTGCTGGAAGAAAGCCACCCCCAGCTTCCACCGCCATCTCTCACAGTGCTGCGTCGCCAAGATCCATCCAACACCTGCACATGAAGTGAGTTTGTTGCTCCATAGACGAGGTGGAGGCTCTCTCGGACGAATTCCGTTCCATGGCTGTCACTCGGTTATTAGTTTCGATCGTCGTCCATCATCCTATCTAGCCGTGACGCGTTCTGCCCAAGCCCCACTTTATTTTATTAACCTGTTTCGATGACGGACGCGTACATCATCAAAACAAAACTGGAAGAAAAACTAAAATAAAACAACTTCATCGGTACCGAGGCTCCCACAAGGCCATGCGGGAGGGCGTGTGGCAGAGTTTGGCGCCAGCTATCGTCCAGTGTGGTTGTGTCACTACAGTTCTCTGCGGTGAGTACAATGTCTTTTAAAACAACGGCTCAATGCCTATCTAAAATGAATGTTAACCGCTTGCGCGTTCCGAGATTCAAAGGTGAATAGGACACTCACCCTGCAACTTGCAGACATCTCGAAATGGGAAAGGGCTAATATTTCAAGATTTGAAGTTTTCGTGACTGCAAGAATCCATCATGCTCTTTGATTTTATTCGGTAAAGTCACGTAGGTAAAAAATAAAATAAACAACTAAATTAAATCACGACGTTTCGGAAGCAACACAAGCCGTGTCTCAACAGGACCAACTGGATCTTCACTTCCCCCCCCCCTACTACTCCACACCCCTCGCCCTCTGCACCTCTCCTCCCTGGCTCCTCCCCCCCTCTGACCTTATATAATCACTTCACAAACAGCTCTCTTTGCCCACTACAGAAACACATTTTTGCTGCGGTTGTCCCGGCTGATGACGGAAGCTTGTGTTGCTTCCGAAACGTCGTGATTTAATTTAGTTGTTCATTTTATTTTTTACCTACGTGACTTTACCGAATAAAACCAAAGAGAAAAGGGATAATAGTTTCGATCATGTAATTAACCTGCGTACATTCTCCAATTCACGTGGTTTTTTTTTCTATCTCTCGGTGCATTTCCCCGTGCATCTTTGCGCACTTTTCAGTTTTCGTTCGATGTTTTTCACGAATGACCGCGGCGTTTAGGAATCGCACATCATAACAGGTAATATACGCACCGGTTAATCGATTAAAATCGATCCTTACACTCACGATACATGCCTTCGAATTGTGGCATCTTGAGAATGAATCATTCACGACCTTTGGATCTTATACGAACAGCGTTATGCTCCCATTACATTTCCACCAATGGGGCAAAACTGAAGTGCGTGGATGAGAAATGATACCAACGAGATGGGAAAACAGGAGAATAAAACTATCGATTTAAGAATCCGGTCGCATCCATGAATCATAGCAACATGTTACTTCGCTGGGGGGGGGGGGGGGTGATGAAGCGTAACTTATCTGGAACCTCCTAGAATTACAGGCTCCAGCAGGTAAGCCATGAAGCGCTTTTTCATAGACGTCCAGGAGGGGCACGGGGTCAGAACATTACAATAATCAATACAAAAAGAGGACAGGCGTGCAAAAACATGCATTCATATACATTATTGCAAGGGATTAGACTGGCACCTACCTGCCATTGCAATGAGGAACTTCAACCACTGACTGGTTCAGGGCAATTCAGAGAGACAAGCAAGAGGTGCGACGCTCATTTGGGTGGAGAAATCAACCCTCGCATCCAGCATAGCCCAAAATGCAAATTACGAAAAAGGGTCCCTTGCAGCCAATCCCCAAAACTGTCCTCAAATAAAAAAAACATGGGCGGGCGGCTTTCTCTGTCACGAGAGACAAAAATACGTCCCGACGAGACTGCCCTAGGGCTACACGAATGAAACCACACACACAAACACAAAACGCACGCAGGCGCACGCGCACACGCACAGACAAAACGCGCGCACGCACACAAAACGCACGCACACAGTCAACCCACCCTCACACTGCTTGGATGGCTATCTGGTTGTACAGCAAAATAAGAAATAAGAAAATTCACAATTGAATACGAACTTCAGTTACATTTCTAATAGTAATCAGTGGGCAAGAGTAGTTGGTGTGTGCGTTCATGCGTTTTTGTTGGAAGTGGAAGTTCAGTTTGTTCAGCACTGCACCATGAACTCGGCAACCTGGGTTCAAATCCCGGCCGCAATAAACGTCAGTGGAAACGTGCAAGTCCTGGGCCTTCCCCCTGGGGGGGGGGGGGGGCTCAGCCTTAAATTAGTACACGGTAGTGTTGCGTAAACGTTAACGCCGAGGAGACAAAGGTGGCCGGACGTGGAGGGAGCCACGCCATCCCCTCGCGTGCCGAGCTGGCCTCAACACCTGTGCCACCAGCTCTTGGCGCAAGAGAAGACAAACACTGCTCACGAACGCAGAGGCCGGCGACGATGAGGGTGCTATCAGACACTCATGTCACGGACCCAGGAAATTAAAGCAACTAACCCGAAACTTCCCATTTGAGTCGCTTCTAGAGACATCTCTTATCCAACACTTAAACTACTATAAAACAATTTGTATTTTTATAGCTTTACCAGGTAAAGCTATAAAACTTTTTTTATATATATGAATAAACGACCTGGCCACAAATGATAGCTCAACGAAGTGGCTTATCATGTGGAAATTTACTGCGGCCAAATACTCTAAATGCAAAAAGCGGAGGACCCGGAGAGAAATCCACGCGGCCACTGGGAGAGCGAACATGCAAACTCAACCTATCGAGGCATCGTCGGGGGTTGGGATCGAGCTCACCACCTGCTGTATATCAGGCGAGGGAGTGAACATCTCGCCAACAGGGCACTTTTTCGTGCTTTATAATGTATTTCTTCGGTTCATAATCATTGGTGACTTATCCGAGACCATCACCTCTGCCGGACCGTGTGCCTCCATCTCTGTATGTATGTTGAATTTTTTAAAAACCGGATATCGCCAACCATGGCTAATCAGAGGTGCGGGGGGAAGGTCAACAAACTAAATACAAAAAGCCGTTTTAAATATGTACGTATGTGTGATCCACAAACTGCCACCTCCAAGTCACAGGATTACCAGCGTGCACCACCACTTTCCAGTGACGACGATGACGACGACAACGATGACTACGACGGTGACATGGTCAGGCAGACTTAAAATAAAATCCCGAGGTATAGTAACGAGTTTGCCCAGTGGATGGGAAAACTACAGAAACATCCGGGCAGACATGGAACCGACCGGGAGCCAATGTTGAGCCAACGGTTCCCCACCGAATGCCAACGTTGGCCAAAAGCTGTGCGTCTACCGGGATTGCGAGGTCATGCAATTGTCCAAGTGCGCTGGCGATGAATGTCAAGAGCCGCTACCGCCGGAGCCAGAGGATACGAGCCACATCGCACACAAGCATTCCTCAAATTCCACCACTTCTGCACTGTACAGCTTCGACGTCGTGACTACGGCGACGCCCAGGGATTCACTCAAGCCCATCCTTCCCTCGGTGGCCGATAAAGGAAAAAAACACGGACTGCGGAAAACGAATAGCGGTCATTCCGGTTTTTAAGCGTCGTACAAACGTGGAATTTCCACCGCTGGACCAATGGGTAAAGATTGCCGCCGCATGACCTTACGTGAGTATGGGAAGACATTGGATGTTTTACTTGAGATTGTCATCCTGCCAACAATTGCATAACCGCCACATTCCCCATACTTGTGCGCGCCTGGCACCCGAGTGGATTGGTGCCTGGGGAGCTGTGGCGACCCCAGTTCGATTTCCACTCGCAACTAATAACAGCGGCGAATAATTGAACCGGTTCCTGGGCCTCCCCGAGGTCGACTTGGCCTTAAATGTGGAGATGAAGGCGGCCAGGCGTGGTGCTGACCACCCGTCCCCTTGTGTGGCGTGTAGGCCTTAATAGGTTCTCACGAACAGCACTTGCCCCAACAATCTGTTTAAGGCCGTATAGGGAATCTTTGTTGTTTGTTTGTATAGATGTACCATCGCTTGCTTCTGCAGTGCCAGGCTGAATTATGTGATCATTTGTCCTTAATGTTCAAGTGAGAAGCATTGGTATAGTAGACCACGCGAAGTGGTGTTTGTACTTGGCTAAGGTCTCCCTTAAATTGACTCGGCCTAAACTCAGTGACATGATGGGAGTGTGTAAACACCAGGATGGTGGAGATTAAAGCGTGCCTGTGTATGGACACAACGAACTTTCACGCACAATGCTAGCTTTAATGGACACTCACTGACAGCAAATGTTCCTGTAATCTACAAGGCTCATACTATGAACCTTTTTTTGTCGGTGCACGCTTACACATTGGGAGTGAATGGGTGCACTGTAATGGTCAGCGCAATGAACTATGATCCCAGGGACCCGGGTTCCAGTCGTCGGCAAGTTAACCTGCTTGCTCCCTTGCATGATCAACCAATCCCCCCTTTTCAGGACAATGGATTTCAGGTGCGCCACTGCTGGTGTCATCAACACAACTCAATGAGTGTTGCTTGAGATGGAGCCACGTTCGAGTGGAGTCAAATGTGTCGACGTGTTGAGGCCAACCGTAGACGTGTGATCCAAGCGTCTCATTTCACGTTGATTTTGTTTAACCAGCTGAGAATTAAAGAGGCCGATGAGAGTCTCGTTTGCAAGAGTGACTCCCGGGTCACCGAACTGGCACAAAAGTAAAACGAAGCACAGCATTGAGGCAAATAGAAATCAGAACACCCTCACCTGGGGGAAAGGCCAGGTGTGTGGAGTCACACTACCGAGGGCCTGAAGCCTGACAGCCAAGGGATTGTTTTAAAATCGATTTTGTGTAAATGGGGGTTAGGTCGGGTTTCAACTCCGCATTGTAGATGTTG